TCAGAGAACCTTTTGAGTCGTGTTCATCACATTAAAATAGCAATGCTTTTCAAAAGCAGAAACTGGAGCATGGGAGAGGCAGAAGGTCGATGTGACAGATCTCTGGGTTTTATGATAATAACAACAAAATTGCACACACATACCAAATTAGTACTAGTAACATGTTGAAAGTATGAACACGGTGCCATCCCTTTCCATTGTGCAGAGCAGAGCAGCTGCCTCTGGTGGCAGATGCTGGTATGTGTGTGTGTGCGTGCATGAGTGTGCTGTGGCAGCTATAACACACCCGGTCTCTTTCTTCTGAACCCCCTGAGCACTCTCTTCTTTTGAGGGGTGGGACTATGTATGCCACATAGCCACCCCTGTACTACCTGAGCTGGCCTGCTGCCCACAGCAAAGACAGCAAAGGATCTTGCCCCATTCTCAGCGTTGAAGTTACTTACCGAGTTAGTGAAATATGCCACCTATAAAGATGTTTAATTTGGATGTGCAGGAAAAAGTATAGGTTGAGGGGGTGCAAAATGTATCATGAAGGCTAGAGATGGGCAATAGTTTTTAAGAGGCTTAAGAGATGATTCCAAGAAGTGCACATGTGTGCAACACTCTCATCTCACTGCCTATCACCCCTAGTTAAATGAGGTTTGCTAAATTTTTGAAACAGTATCCAAAATCTTTAAGCAGTGGTGAAGGTGAGAAGAGTGTATGCTGGGATGGGAGATCTGTGACCCTCCAGATGGCTTAAGTTGAAAATATATTTCCAAGAGGGTGACTTCAATATCTGCACAGAGCCTGCTCTTGGTCTCCATAAGTCTCTCTTGGGCGATCATCAGGCCAACGCACCAGGCAGGGCACACTCTTGATTTGATCTTTGCCCCACTGTAACTAAATCAAGTTTTACAGCCTGTGCTTTCTGACTGATGTATGGAGAGGCACATGAACCTGACCTTTGAAGAGCTTGTAAGTAAACCAATTTTTAACTTACCAAACATGTGGCCTTTGGGGGAAAGAGGGGAACTTTGGAAGGAACTTGATAGAGCAATTTTAAAGGTCTAGCGGTCTGTATTTCCATGCTTTACTTTGCTGCATGTTTTGTGATTTTAAATCTCTGCTGGGGTTCTCTCACCCAAGAATACTTCTCACAAACCTAGATCTTAGCATCCAGGAATTCTCATTTTATACTTTTTTCCATGCCGCCAACACCTTATGCTATATTATTCTGTTTAAAGATTGTTTCACTGCTTTTTAGTCTGTATTCAAGCCTGATAAAGAGCACTGAAATTCTTTCCACTAGTGTTGCTGTTGCTACCGACTCCAGAAGAACTCTTGCATTTGGCAAAACATTTATGTATTTATTGTAAGCCACAGCGATTAATTAGCAGGTGCTAGAATTGCAATGAGTTACAAACTGAAATTGAGACTGAAGGTACATTCTTTCACCTTTGGTGGACATGCCCAAGGATTAAGACATTCTGGGAGATGATCTATAACGAAATGAAAAAGATACTTAAACTTACTTTCCTGAAGAAACCAGAGGCCTTTCTCCTGGGCATGGTCGGCCAATTGGTGCCAAAGAAGGATAGAACTTTTTTTATGTATGCAACAACAGCAGCAAGAATACTCATCGCGAAGTATTGGAAGACACAAGATTTACCCACCCAGGAAGAATGGCAGATGAAGTTGATGGACTACATGGAATTGGCAGAAATGACTGGCAGAATCCGAGACCAGGGAGAAGAGTCAGTGGAAGAAGACTGGAAAAAGTTTAAAGACTATTTACAGAAATATTGTAAAATTAATGAATGTTAGAAAAATGTTGGAATGAAGTTATATGGCTTTAGTAGAAATGTTATAAGGAATTAAGTATAAATAGATTAATAGAATATTAAAGGAAAAAATAAGGTTAGAATGTGTTAAGATAATTATAGGATAGAAAACAAAGGAAGATGGAAAGGAATTGCTGAAACAATTAATAGAAGTGGAATACAAAAAGGGAGGTGTGAGGAGGTCGTTGAAATAAGTGAATGAAAGATAAAATGTTGAAACTGTTTGATGTGTTTTAAACTGTTTTTGTTTTGTTTTGTTAGTTTAAAGTGTTAGTGTTATGTATTGTTTTTGTATTGTATTGTATTTTTTTTTTGTAGTGTTTAAATTGTTGGAAAAGTAATAAATATTATTTTTTTAAAAAAGAGTTACAAACTGAAATTCAAAGGCATCTCATTGACGAAATGGATGATGAGAATCTGGGATCTGCTGCTTGTGTGGAAACTTTGCAAATACTATTGCAATCACTGAAGTTAGATTGGGAAACAAAAGCTTTATTGAGTAATGGAGCATTTCTGTTATGCTTTAGAGCAGTACAGTGTCGGGTGAGGTTCTGTCTTGTGATTTACTGGGAACACTGTGAAACAGAACACATGAAACAGGGTTGTGATGAGATAGAGAGGGCAGGATATGAACCTAGAAAGTTATCGTGACACATTTGAAAGGGCAGAAAACAATGATATAGTTCTAGTATTTATTTATTTATGTACGGACTCTTCACCATAAGAGCAACATCATAACCATACAGATACCAAAAACATAAAACGATTCTTTTGCTGCCACTCACAATATAAGCAACAGCACCAAACCCTCGTGCTCATTTTCCCTTAGAAATTTGCGAATATGCAATTGCTGGTATTGAGATTAACACTAGAGGGGGCTTTGAATTCACAAATGCCTTCAGAAACCCCCAGAGGAGCTGAAAGGAGCTACTCCAGTCCATTTTTGAATGTGGCAAGGGAAGAGATCAAGGGCTTCCTTCTGGAAAGCAACCAGGGGTGGGGTGTGGTGGACCAAAGTTACCTAATTAGCACTCTTCGAAGCAATAGATGAAGCAAAACACGGTGATCTTCTGAAATTTGCAGTTACCTTTGAATGTTACGATGCAGTTCTCCAACTAATCGATGTGCACAGAAATGCACACATTGCTGTTGGAGTGTATCGGTCCTCTACCCGTGCTCAGCCTGTATATTTGGAAATAAAATGCAACAGTCTCCCATGGCTTCTTTCCAAAGAAAATGAATCCTGGTCAAATGCTGTGCTTCGGGAAAGTCTCAACACTAGGGAAATAGGGAAGAATGTAACTTCCGTCTTTTGAACTGGGATAGCTCACTTGATAGAGCATGAGACTCTTAATCTCAGGGTTGTGGGTTCGAGCCCCACATCGGGCAAAAGATTCCCAATGGCCCTTGTGGTCCCCTCCAACTTTACAATTCCATGGTTTTGATTGCCCTTGGTTGTTGTGCTCAAGTCTTGATTTCAGGCTTCCTATATAGGTTATCGTAGTGATGTATGGAAGTGAGAGCTGGACCATAAAGAAGGCTGATCGCCGAAGAATTGATGCTTTTGAATTATGGTGCTGGAGGAGACTCTTGAGAGTCCCATGGACTGCAAGAAGATCAAACCTCTCCATTCTTAAGGAAATCAGCCCTGAGTGCTCAAGGGAAGGACAGATCCTGAAGCTGAGGCTCCAATACTTTGGCCACCTCATGAGAAGAGAAGACTCCCTGGAAAAACCCTGATGTTGGGAAAGATTGAGGGCACAAGGAGAAGGGGACAACAGAGGACAAGATGGTTGGACAGTGTTCTTGAAGCTACCAGCATGAGTTTGACCAAACTGTGGGAGGCAGTGGAAGACAGTAGTGCCTGGCGTGCTCTGGTCCATGGAGTCATGAAGAGTCGGACACGACTAAACGACTAAACAACAACAGCAACATATAGGTTATCTATCTATCTATCTATCATCTATATCTATCTATCTATCTATCTATCTATCTATCTATCTATCTATCTATCTATCTATCTATCTATCTCTATCTATCTCTATCTATCTATTTTTCTATCAATCTAATCCATGGGGAAACTGCGCTTGACAGCTGCTTGTCTACAACTCCCATCATCCCTGACTATCTATCTGTCTAATCCATGGGGGAGCGGGTGGCACTTTGGGACTGCAGCTGTGAGGTTTCGGCAATGCACTGGCAGATTCAATCTAGTGCTCCCTCTGCCCCATCCCTGCCCATTCTCTTCCCTGGTACTTGGTGGCAATGCTGCTGAGCCAAGGGGACAGCTCCTTCCCTGCTGGCTGCCCTTGGATGGGAGCTGGATCCAGCAATGAGGGCCACAGGTTCCCCCAATTCCTGATCTGGGTTGGCATGAACCAACCAAAGATAAACACAGGAGAGGTTTAGGCAGCATCAGGTCTGCCAATCAGTGTGGTCCAGTGGGCTTGAATAGGGTAAATCAATCTCATAGGTAAATTTTGTAATGAAAACTTTGGCAGCAATGGAGCCAAGAGTTTGAGTGCTGTGTCCACAAGTGGGAGCATTTTTGTTTCTAGATTTTTTAAATTGTGTCTAAAAGTAGTTAACCTGAAAAAGCAGAAGAGGCATCTATCAGGAAGAGATGGCCTTTGCAGTAGCCAGCCCCTGATTACCGAGCCAGGTTCAAGGTCCTTGTATTAATATTAAAAGCCCTGGACAACTGAGGTCAGGGACTGCCCAAACCCTTCTATTCCAGCTTGATCACTGAGATCATTTGCTGGGATGCCGTCAGTCATTCCCCAAGTTGGCGAGGCTCATTTGACAAACAAAAAACAAAAAAACAAAAAAAACCCCAAGCCTTTATGGTCACCAGCCCAGTCCTGTGGAACTCTCTGCCACTTGAGATTCAGCAGGTGCCTTCGAGGCGAACTTTTAAATGCCTGCCGAAAAACTTCTATTCCACCAGGCCTATGCAGGCAATTAAGAATACGCCCTTCCACCATGGTTAACTGATATCTGTTTTTTTATATATATACTTTGCATGGCTTTTTATTGTATGGTTCTCATGGCTGTAAATAGCTGTAAACTGTGAGACACAGCAGTATACAGATATTTATTAATAATAATAAATAAAACAATGAATACATAGTTTCTGCTTGATTCAAGTAGGTCTTCCGTGGTCAAAATAAATTAAAACAATTCTTTAAAAAGATAGTTTAAAAGGCTCTTCTTAATAAGATAAAAACTCCCTTAAAAAATCAAGACTTCAAAAAAGTTATATAATCTAAGACAGTCTTTAAAAGAATCCCCCCAGAAGAATTGCAAAATAAAAAAGTAGCCCCTTAGAGACCAACTGAGTAGTTTTAGGTATAAGCGTTCGTGTGCGTGCACACTTCTTCAGATAGTTCTTCAGATAGTTCTTCAGATAGTTTCTTCTTGCCAGCCGTGTCAACGCTCCACTGCATTTGCTTGCACCAGATGGAAGTTCAACTTCCCAAGCAAGTCGGTAAACAAGTGTTGGAAATAATTGCACAGTTGTCACCCCCGTCATTGAGCAGAGCTCTATTTTAAAACGCCAGTTTAGCCCCAAGGTTCGGGAGGGAGGGCAGGGCAGTTTCTGGCAAGGCCCAGCTGTCTGAGTGCAGCACAAACTGGGCTCTTCAAAGCACCAGGCCGGGTGTCTCAGCGCCAGACTGTCCTGGCTGGGAGAGCAGGGAGGCTGAGAAGAGCAGGCAGGCCTTGCTAATGGTGTTTTGACGTATCACTTCAAGCACAATCTGTGCCGCTCGGAAACAGCTGCTCAGAACCCGATGCTGGATGATGGAAGAGAGGAGGGTGAGACGGAGGTTGGAGGTGGAAATTAATGGGAGGTCTAACCTTTTTTCGTGTGTGTGTGATACAAAATTATGCAAAATACAGCATTACAGACCCTTCAACTACTCGTGTGTTCCAGGTAGACAGTCCTGGATCTGCAGAAGCCATCCCAATTTCTGATTTGATTCTGGGATGGTCTTCATTCCTTAGGACGTTTCTATTTTCGCTAGAGGATATGGAATAAAAAGGTAAAGGGACACCTGACTGTTAGGTCCAGTCATGGACAACTCTGGGGTTGCGGCGCTCGTTTTGCTTTATTGGCCAAGGGAGCCGGTGCACAGCTTCCGGGTCATGTGGCCAGCATGACTAAGCTGCTTCTGGCGAACCAGAGTAGCGCATGGAAACGCCGTTTACCTTCCCGCTGGAGTGGTACCTATTTATCTACTTGCACTTTGAAGTGTTTCAAACTGCTAGGTTGGCAGGAGCAGGGAGCAACGGGAGCTCACCCCGTTGCGGGGATTCGAATTGCAAGCCCTAGGCTCTGTGGTTTAGAAATGTGGGAGGCAGGACTGTGGTTAGCAGATGCGGCACTGGGATGCAAATAAGCAGCCTTGGCAGGTGAGTTCACGAGCATAGAAGCAGCACTGAGGATGGGGACACGTCAAGATTTCCCTTCTTGGCATTTTCCCAGTCAGCATTGCCCCCCAGCAACCCCCCTGCCACGTTTTCACCCACAGGGGACAATCTTTACTGTTCAAAGCAATGGGTCGGTTGTGATTGGGTGCAGCAGGCTAAACTAATGAGAGATAAGAGACGGCAGGTCATTCTTTGAATGTCTATGCCTATGGTGAGTTGTTGGATGTATGGTACGGATGGGGCACACATAGTCACCTTAAACTTATAAGTAAGGCTCTTTTGCTCCACACTACTACTGCAAAAAGGGACGCGGGTGTCGCTGTGGGTAAAACCTCAGCGCCTAGGACTTGCCGATCGCATGGTTGGCGGTTCGAATCCCCGCGGCGGGGTGAGCTCCCGTTGCTCGATCCCTGCTCCTGCCAACCTAGCAGTTCGAAAGCACCCTTAAGTGCAAGTAGATAAATAGGTACCGCTTTATAGTGGGAAGGTAAATGGCGTTCCGTGTGCTGCTCTGGTGCCGGTTCGCCAGAGCAGCTTCGCCACGCTGGCCACGTGACCCGGAAGTGTCTGTGGACAGCGCTGGCTCCCAGCCTCTAGAGTGAGATGAGCGCACAACCCTAGAGTCTGTCAAGACTGGCCCGTACGGGCAGGGGTACCTTTACCTTTTTACTACTGCAAAAGCAGGGGGGGGGCACAGTGTTAAAAGAGGTACTCAGATCAGGACCAGCACTTCCATAAGTCCTCCTAGGCTGCAGTCCTAAGCTACATTCACATAATACCTTTAAAGCACTATGACACATACCTCTCAACTGTCCCGTTTTAAGTGGGACATCCCGGAATTACAGAAGCCATCCTGAATCCCAGGATGTCCTGTGTTGGTTCCTGGCCCCAAAATACATGTGTCTCAATTTTCCTGTGCAGCATGTTAGAGAGTAGTATGATACCACTTTAAACAGTCATGGTCCCCCTCCAAAGCATTCTGGGAAATGTAGTTCGTGCAGAGACCCCTATTCTCCTCATGGAGCTACGATTCTCAGAGTGGTTTAACCATCCATCCCTCTTCCCAGGGAATTTTAAGCATTGTAGCTTGGGGGGTGGGGTGGAGAGGAATGGGGTCTCATAATATTGCATAGCACCCTGAACGAACTGCATTTCCTAGGATGCTGTGGGGAATACCATGTCTGTTGAAGCAGTATAAGAGTGCTTTAAATGTCAGTATGGTGAGGCAAAACCTACTCCAGGGAAAAAGCGAGGCAGTAACTTGCCTGCTCATTTCTCCCCCTCACATAATCCATCTTTAATTCCATTTTCTGAGCCAAATCATTCCTCCACAGCCCAGCTTGAAATTCACAGGCTCCCTGAATGTGCAGTACAGGAAGATGTCAGCTTTTAAAGCTATGGGTGAACGGTTTATATATCCTCAGGCAGTACGTGATGAGATGCTGTTGAGAGGAAGAGAGGCAAATCATGCCAAGTAGCTGATTTCAAAGAGGCTTCCAGAAAGTCCTTAATGCCAGAAATGCACTCCTCAAACTTTGCCACCACAAAGATGGGCTTTTCTGTTACTGCACTCCTCTTTCTCAGGAAACTGTTTAATGTTGGAATATAGTGTGGCTTCCAGTTGAACTGAGCACTCATCCTTATTAAGAGCATAAGAAGAAGCTTTCTGGATCAGGTCAGTGGCCCATTAAGTCCAGCATCCTGTTCTCACAGTGGCCACTCAGATCCCTCAAAAGCAGGGCCCCTGAGCACAAGAGCCCTCCTCACACTACTGACTTCACTTACAGGTATTCAGAAGTATTAGTACAGTCGTACCTCTTGTTACGTCCGTCTCTGGTTGCGTTTTTTCAGGATATGAACGCAGCAAACCCGGTAGTGTATATTTCTGGATTTCACTGTGCGCGCATGTGCAGAAGCGCCCTGCATGTCTCATGCATGCGCAAAAGTGCTCTGTGCACCTCGTGCATGTGCAGAAGCACTCTATTGTGCTGCACACATGCGCAGAAACGGTGCTCTAGTTGCGGACTTTTCAGGGTGGGAACGGCACCCCGGAACAGATCGAGTCCGTAACTAGAGGTACCACTGTACCTCCAACTGCGGAGGCAAAACATAGCCATCCATAATCTTATCCTCCATGATTTGCCTTACCCTCTGTAAAAGCCATTCCAGTTGATAGCCATCACTGCCTCTTGTGAAAGTGAGTTCCTTTCCTTTTCTGTCTGCCCTGCATCTTCCAACATTCGGCTTCACTGGATGCCCATGACTTCTAGAGAGGGAGAAAATCTTTCCTAAATCTATTCACCTTCTCCATGACATGCGCCCCTACCAAGTTTGTTTTGCAGGCATAGCCAGACCTGTGGGGTTTGTCCATCAACTGTAGAGAGAGCTCCCATCTCAGCTTTTGACTCCCACGAGCCGTTTTGTGCGTTTGGGGTCCACGCATGCAGAGAATGTGATGCTGAACTATGCAGACTTCTTGCCCCGATGCCAAGAAAGCAGCCAGATTTCAGGCAACCAACTGCGCACTGTAAAAATGCAGAGGCCGGCGATGACATGACGAGGAAGAGTTCCAGCTTGGTTGGGTCAGGACCCCGTTTGTGCAGGTGGCACAGAGAGAAAGGAAGTTTTGTTCCAGCCAGAGCTCTGAGCAGAGGCAGCATGGGAAGGGCTCTTGGTGATGGATTGCCCTGTGAAAAGAAATGGCAGGAGGGCTTTCTGTGCAATTCTCTCTTCTAAAGGTCCCCACCCCCACCCTGTGCCATCATCCATAAGGTTAATCTTATCATCAAGAAAACTGATCGGAATGGCGTTGGTGGCTGCATCCCTGGAACCATCTATCTTCGAAGACAAGGAAGAGGGACATTATTTGAGTCTCCTTCAGTCTGCAATATGTGTTTGTCAGGGATGTTGGAGAATGCTGACAAAATTGGAAAGGGGAGTGGTAATTGGGTGGTGTTGGAAATCAATCCGGGGAATGCAATCCGCATTCGCTACTGTTGCTGCTTTCAGCCTGCAAGCCATACATGCTTTATTACATCCACCCCTCATTTGCACTGCATTTCCTTTGCACAGACATGAACAGGGTGCAACAATGCAGCAACAAAGTGATTTATGTCACTTACGCAAGTTACATAATTTTGCCCCAGCAAAAATTTCATTTTTGGTGGAAGTTGGCCTGCAGTGGAATGCAAACAGTGCTGCATGCAAAGAGTACTGGCTGGAGTGGGGAAATGTGCCTTCTTACATCCCTAGTAGTTACATTTGGCAGCTGTGGACATCTGGCAGCCACTCTGTTTTAATGCCTTTGCTTACAGTCCAACCACCAATATCTGATCACCCCATCTGTGCATATGTAGAAGCGAAAGAGCTAAGATAAAAATATGAGCAAAGGTTGTTTCAGCCTTCATCAACCTAGTGCCCTCCAGAAGTTATGGACTACAATTTCCATCAGTCCCAGCCAGCTTGGCAGAGGTTGGTGTACACATTTGTGTTGCTTTTGTGTTTTTTTGGTTTGCCTGGGCTATGTGCGAAATCAGGGTTGAAATTGCCGTGTGCCTTTGTTCTAAGCTCACAGTCCCCAAATTGCGGGTTGCTCTTTTGATTTTAATAGGAGCTGAATTTTACCTCTTCCGAAGCGGAGGAAAGAGTTTCTATTTATCTGCTATAATGTTCTCGCTCAAGACCAGTTGAAAGGAGGAAAACCTTTTAGAACATTAAGGGGAAGATCTGGACTATTAATTTTAATGGGAGCTGGGTCTGTATATCCCTTAGGCAGCTTGGGCATGGGAGGGGGGAGCCCTCCACTTAATGCCATCTCTGCTTTTCAAAAGCCTCTAGAAAGCATCTATATTCCTCCCCCCCCGCCCGGTGGTCCTGCATGTAGATCTGGCGAGGAAAGCGGCAATTTATACAGGCCTGCAACAAATGAAGGAATATCACTCCCCACTTTGCATTACAACAAGGGAGAAAGGGGGTGGCTTTGGATCTGCTTGTGCTCCCAGGAGGTCATTGAGAGTTGAAGTCCCGTTCAGCCGCTCGCCTCGCCAGGTGGAACAATCTGCAATGCGCAGCCCCATGGCGTCAACGCACAACATCCCGATCTCAGCCTGTTTTCCCCATCGGCAAATGCCACAAGCTTGGCTGGGCGGCTGCTGATGTTACAAACACACAGAGAGATGCAGAACCTGTTGGAAAAAGGAAGCCTCTGAATCAGAGTGTCCCCTCCTCCTCCCCACAAGAAATGGGCCGTTTGAGCACGGAGCTCAGCAAGAGGAGAAGGAAACCAGATCGCTGGCTTTGCTCCTGCTGGGTCTTCCTCAGACAAACATGGAATGTGTTAACATCCATACGTCTTCTGAGTTGATGAATGGAGGAAGGGTTCAAGGTCATAAAGTCATGGAGAAGAGTTGCCTCGAAATCCACGTTAAGAATGTAAGGAGGACCCTGAGCTGCATCAGAAGGACTCTAATGAAGCATCTGGCCCAGCATCCTGTACTCACAGTGGCCAATCAGATGCCTACATGGGAAGCAAGACTTGAGCACAACAACCAAGGGCAATCAAAATCATAGAACTGAAGAGTTTGAAGGCACCTTGAGGGCCATCTAGTTCAACCCTCTGCAATGCAGGAATCTTTTGCCCAACGTGGGGCTCTCTCGAACCCACAACAGTGAGATTAAGAGTCTCAGACTCTGCTGACTGAGCTATCCCAGTCAAGAGGACAGAGCAATTCCTCTATGAAGGAGGATTGCAGCATCTGGGACCTCTTCGTTTAGGGAAAAGGCGAGCGACAGGAGACATGGTGGACGTTTATGAAATTATGCGTGGCATGGAGATAAGCTTTTCTCCCTTTCTCGGCGTTTCCGTGTGCTGCTCTGGTTCGCCAGAAGCGGCTTAGTCATGCTGGCCACGTGACCCGGAAGCTGTGCGCCGGCTCCCTCGGCCAATAAAGCGAGATGAGCGCTGCAACCCCAGAGTCGGCCACGACTGGACCTAATGGTCAGGGGTCCCTTTATCTTTAAGGAAAACATTCCAGGATCCAATCAGAAACCAGGATGGCTTCTGTAAATCTTGGACTGTCCCTGGAAAATAGGGGCACTTGGGAGGTCTGCTACAGCCTTACAAGCGCTTGGCCCCTTCTGCAGCCTCTCTCCCTCAACTGCCTTCCCCCTAGGCATGAACTAGGTCAACAGATCAGTTTTTGACATGCTGCTAAATGAGTGACCTTATCCAGGGTACCAGGTGCCATGCAAACAGCCCAGGTGAAATATGGCTCACAGAAAGCAGGTGAGCTATTAGCGAAGCTGTGGCCGGAGTTTGGTTGCCCTGTTGCTAAGCCCGGCGGCTGTGCTGTCTGGGCTCTGGGCCGTGGTGTGCCTGCCTGGAATCTGGGCCATTTGTGGATTTCTGTGCCATGTTGAAATGCTGGTCTCCGTCTAGGAAAAAGTTCAGGCAGGACCCCTTGGAAGATCAATGGAGGGTGTCGGCGAGGGGTGGGGGGTGGGAAGCAGGTGACCGCCGGAGTCTCAGCCAGACAGGGCTCATCTTTCAGCAGCTGTAAGCCATTTATTAGTTGGGTTTTAATGTTTCCGAAAAAGCCCCGTTGGGTGGGCAGAGGCTGGAGAGAGACAAGTGTGGGGAAGGGGGAAAAATGTGTTAATTACCAGTCCATTTGTGTGACGCAGGTCTGGCCCAGTCTGTCATCTCTTCTCCCCCCCACCTCCCAACTAGCCTCCCATTTTCATGAGGGGATCCTGGCGGGGCCTTTGTTGCCCGGTGTTACCATGGAGACGGCAGCTGCAGCTGACTCTCCCTGTTAGAACAAACCGCCAGCGCCTCAGAAACCATTTTGGAAGCATTTGTCCTGACAGCCTCTGCTAATCTCTCTTTCATTTGTAATTATCTTATCGCACAAGCATTCTCGCAGTGCTATCACGGCATTTCCTTTCTTCCTCTCCCACCCACCCCCCTGCCGCCAATGCCACCCACCCCACACGGCCACAAATGCCCCTCCGGGCATTTGGGTGTGTTAGCAAAGGCAAAGGGCAGCGGCAGAGTGCCCAGCCCGAGATGGACAGAGCAGGCTTCAAACAGGCCTGAGTCCCAACAGGCCGCCTTGTCATGGGTCTGGTGCGATTGAAGTTGGCCGAGTTCTGGGGCTTGGAGCCCTTTGAGGCTGGCCGTGATATTTCTGCCAAGAATAATTGAACAAATAGTTTTATCAGGGAGAATCGACAGCTGTAGAGAGAGAGAGCAGGCGATTTCTAGAGGATTAGGGAAGAGCTGTGAAAGGGGACTCTCACGGGAAGTGGATTCGGTCAGCCAAGAACAAATGTTGAAGGCTTTGGGGTTTTTTCTCTTATTTTGGGGTTTGTTTTCTTCATTTATTTTTTCATTTGTGAAAAAAATTATAAGTTGCTGAATAATAATAATAATAATAATAATAATAATAAATAATCTCTGAAAGTGCAGACAGAAAACAAAACAAAACATCCTCTTCTACTATATTGTCGCACACTACCCCAATCTCTGAGCGGTACCAATCTCTGGTTTCCTCAGAATGAGGGACAGAGGAAATTGTGGTGTCTTCAGGATCTAGAGTTTATTTACACATACATACAACCTGAGCCCACGATGGAGGTGGGGGAACTAATTTAGCTAAAACTTCGTCCGTTAAAAAAAATCATTTTACATTGAAAACTAGATACCAAGGAAGAAGGTTCTTGCCACAGCCCTCTCACTAAAATCTTCATTTTATTGATCTGAGCAGATACCAGGGTGGAAAGCAACACAAAGACACACCCACAAATTCACATAATATGCAACAACAAGACCGCTAGAATTAGGTGCTCAACTGGAGCACCTAAAAATAGGATTAAGCCAATGCCAATAGACTAAACAACTGAAACCCCCCGGCCTTTGCCAGAAGTTGAATTTGCGATTTTTTTAAAAATCCTCATTCGTCAGCATTTTAGTGCAAATTTCTTCTAACAGGCACATTTTTGTCTAATACACACATTTTTTTGAAAAGCTATTTCTCCTAGTGTAATGCATTTATGTACGGTATGCTACATCCCTCAGTGGGTGCAAACTTTGCCCTAGCGCACACAATTGTGTAGGTTATCACTTGGGGGGGGGGGGACTTGCATGGCAAAATTTAGGGATGTGCAAATTTCAAAGTGGGTTTGCCTTTAAATGTGAACTGAATCAAATCGCCCCACCAATCCCCACCTCCACGTCCTACACCCATTGAAAGAATGGCCTTGTAAAAACGACATTTTTAAGAGGGTCACAGTGTCCTTTCTCTTGGCAGATCAAGATGAACAGGTGACAGCAGAAGCTGCAAGGTTTTTAACCGGGGCATTTAGAATAAGTTCCATTATTTGACTATTGATCCAGACCCCCAAAATGTATTTTATAAAATTAACTTTTTACCTTTATCCCATGTATACTGCATTTTGTTTTATTGCTATGGCTGGTGGCTGATGCAAATAAAGATTCATTCATTCATTCATTCATTCACTCACTCACTCACTCACTCACTCATTCATACATTTTTAAGAATGTAGGCCTATGGGTAATCAAACGAAGGAAATACTTAGCAGAGACCAGAGGAGGAAAGGAAGAGGCTAGGAACAGGATGTCGGGCCAGGAAGGAGGAGAATCAGGAGCAACTGGCTTTCATTCATGGGAGAGGATGAAACCAGACTTGATCAAGGCCTGGGGCTCGACAGCCTGGGATATGAGATGTGCACTTTTTAAGCAAATAACTTCCCCAGAAAGAAGGATACTCATAAATAATAATGTTCTGGCATGTATGAATTCATGAAGCACCCATGACCGGAGGGATGAGAAAGAGAGAGGGAGAGGGGAAATGCTATTTATTCTGGAGACTTTAATTTAATTTGACAAATAGACATCATGGCAACTGACACCGTGTTATCTCCATTTCAAGAGGCAGAGATTTACAGTGCAATCCGACCACAGATCTGCAAAGATGGGGAAGGTTTGGATAGAGCTCACCTTGGCCCTTTCTCTAGAAACCCTTGAGACTGTTGGAACTGATGAGGCTCTGCCTGTAGCAAAAAAAGACATACAACGGGGTCCAAAGGGTCCTTATTCTGAAAACAAATATTTGATTGTTTGCTTGACTCCTGATCCCTCAGCTCTCATCCCCAACTTAAACCAAGCTGAAGTTTGCTCACATCTGTCCCTTGAAAGGGCTGAGTGGGATAACACCTGCTTTGCCTACAGAAGGTCCCAGGCTCAATCTCTGCCGGCATCTCTAGTGCACAGCTAGATCGCCCAATGGCTCTGACTTTGTATAAAGCCACTTCCCAGGTTCCTGGCTAGCTATCTCTCCCTTTGCTCTTTCCTCACTGTCAAAACTGAGCTCTTCTGACCTATCCTCTCCCCCTCTCTCTCTTGCTTGTGATACTTCATATACACCAGACCCACCAAGTTTCCCTGTTTTCCAGGGACAGTCCTGGATTTACAGAAGCCGTCCCGGTTTCTGAGTTGATCCCAGAATGTCCCTCTTTTCCTTAGGATGTTCCTATTTGCATCAGAGAAATGTTGGAGGGTATGGAGATATGTGACCCCCAACGCCAAGGAGATATGTCACCATACAACCTTTAGAAGACATCTGAAGGCAGCCCTGTATAGGGAAGTTTTTAAATGTTTAATGTTTTATCATGTTTTTATAAATGTTGGAAGCCACCCAGAGTGGTTGGGGAAAGCCAATCAGATGGGCAGGGTATTATTATTATTATTATTATTATTATTATTGAATTATGGTGCTGGAGGAGACGCTTAAGAGTCCCATGGACTGCAAGAAGATCAAACCTATCCATTCTTAAGGAAATCAGCCCTGAGTGCTCACTGGAAGGACAGATCCTGAAGCTGAGGCTCCAATACTTTGGTCACCTCATGAGAAGAGAAGACTCCCTGGAAAAGACCCTGATGCTGGGAAAGATGGAGGGCACAAGGAGAAGGGGACGACAGAGGACGAGATGGTTGGATAGTGTTCTCGAAGCTACCAGCATGAGCTTGACCAAACTGCGGGAGGCAGTGGAAGACAGGAGTGCCTGGTCCATGGGGTCATGAAAAGTCGGACACGACTAAACAACAACAACACTTATTGTTATTGGAAAGGATGTCCCTATTTTCATTGGAGAAATGTTGGAGAGCAATACAGTCATGGTGCTATGCACAAACAACAACAACAACAAATGTCATTATATTGGCTATTTGGGTCCAAACACGACACCTGCCCATTGGCTGAATGAAGAAGAGAAGAATCCTGTGAGGGATGGAGATGCCTCGCTTTCGCATTAAGAGCGCTGATTGCTTGTTTTCCCAACACAGTTCAGTCGCTCTGCTTATCAAAGAGCCCTTCAATCAAATCTCATTACATTAGTTAGTGCTGAATTGATGTCACTGCCAAAGAATTTCCTCTTGGCTTGGCCTGTCTGCTGCAACACGCTGATGGCAAGTTGGAGACATCTACATATTTGCAAAGTTGAAACTCCTTGGATACATCCTGTGTTTGTTTGTTTCGCTTTAAATGGAAGTGAATTAGTTTTGGGGGGGACATTTTGAAATGTTTGGAGAGTCTCCTGGCAGTGGTGCACATGGGTGCGGTCACCTTGGAACATGGATGCACACATCCCAGTATAAACGGCAGAGTGGGCAAGTTGGTAGGATTAGGGGCAACTACATCTGTCTGTGATCCTGAAGGACAGAACTGCCCAGGGCTGGAGCCACCATGATGCTCAGGAATGCACAGGGCAACGCTCTCCAACTCAGGTGGTTTCCCATGCTGCAATGTACACCTGCCATGCTTCTTGTAGAAGCACGCTAAACATTTCCTGCAGCTCTGAATGTAGCAGCTTCTGACGTCCCCTTCGGAGAGGAAATGGGAGCTTGTGTTCTGTTTCTAGTATATTTGCCTGCTTTGAATTCATTTTATTGTCTTTCTAAATTTTGTGAGCTGCCCTGGGAATTGTATTGAAGGGTGTGGTACTATTTCCTCGACTAAATGAACAATCCCAGCTGTAGTAGAATCCAGGACACTGATAGGCCAAGACAGGTGGCAGTTGTTGCATGAGAGTGGTGGCGAGGTGTTAGAGCCTTCCCATGGCCCCCTAAGCTAGCCTGCTGCTCTCAGGATGATGCTGTCGCAGTGTCAAAATAAAATTCAGCTGCCGATCCAATCAGCTTCTATATCTGAAATGGGGGTGCTATCTTGCCTTTACCTCAGGCTGCAGAATGCCTTAAGCCAGCCTTAGGAGCCAAGTCCTAGGGGCTGAGGTTCCTTCGGACCCCCAATAAAATATTTGAGAGGGGCCAGCCCCCTCAAAGTTGATGGGCATTGCCTGGCTAACCCCCGTATTTTATCCAACTAGGCTGGTTGGGAATCTGGGGTGCTCTCCCCATGGGTAACTACATTTGGGCATGTCTTGTGATTATTTCTGACCAATGGAGCTGTAGAGGCCTAGCCTGTAGTTTAGCATTGGAACTTTATGGTTTTTTTGAGTAGTTCTGCTGGTGAGAGCTCCAAACCAAATGTGTGGAATGTCTGAGCATAGACCTCTGCACATATATGTACTCAAATCCAAATTGAGATATGGAAGACCCTTGCAGATCTGGGAATAAATGTTGTTTCCAAGCAAATAAATAAATCCACCTTCCTTGCAACCAGGATCTGTTCAGAAACTTCCTGTGCTTTCTGGGGGCTTTAGACCAGGAGTAGTCAATGCCTAGCTGT